CGGAGAGGGCGGGAGGGAGGGCCTGGCCCGCCAAGAGCAGGACGTGAGTCTGGGGAAGGGTTCCCGGAAAGCGGGTATGTCCCCCCCAGAGGCTGGAAGGAGATGGGACTCAGGACTCGGGCTTGGAGGAGGGGACCCCGGAGAGCCGAATGCGCGCGCCCTGGAGAGGCTGGGGAGAAGGAGCGGCGGGAGGCTCCGGGCCTGGGGGGAGGGTCCCCAAGGATGAGGCTGGCGGAGAATGTAGAGTGAGGAGGAACTGGAGCAATGGAGGGGGCTGCTTCCAGGCGGGGAGCGAGCGGGGGGACCCCGAGCCGGGTCCCAGCCCGGGTCGGAGGAGCCGATGGGAGGAGCTGAGGTCAGCCACCTGGGCGCAGGCGGCCGGGGAAACTGGGGTTCGGAGCCTGGTTTCCGAGCCGAGCTGAGCTGAGCAGGCTAGACGTGGAGGAGCGAGGAGCTGGCGGTCGATCCCGGAGCCATGGGACAGGGGGGATGGGAGGAAAGCTGGTCTGAGCTCGGCCAGACCGGATCCCCGAGTCCGGCACGAGTCGGGGGGTGGGGTCGGGGCAGCGGATGCTGAGATGAGGGTGGTGGTGGAAGTTGTCTGGGACCCCTCACTGGGGTGGGGCAGAGTTTCAAGGCTCCCGGCATTCCGATGTTAAAAAGTGGGGGGTCTCCAGTTTTGGTTGCATGGCCGGGACGTGTTGAGGGGCTCTTAATCTTCATAGTTCAAAAGATGATGGGGACTCTGGTACTCAGAGATGTAAAAGTCTCTGGCTGAGCTAGGATGGGGGTCCCAGGGTGAGCCCCCCCAAATCACGGCGTTGCCTAGTTTAGGGGAAAAAAGTCCGTAGTGGGGGCGAGGATGGTGAATAATAAGGGATGAGGAGCATGCTCCTTGAATCTTCAGATTCCTGATTGGAATTTGGGGGGGCCCAGCTATGAACTGGAGATCTCTTGTTTTGAGGATCCAGTGTTAGGGGGATCGGAGTTCCAGGTTGGATGTTGAAGCGGGTCTGTAATTGGAAGGCCTTGCGTGGGAAATGGAGTCCAGAATCTCTAGTAGAGAATTCTGGGGTCTCGTGATTGGGGGCGGGGAGGGGGGGTGAAGGGAAGAGTGGGATCCTGGACTTCCTGATTGGGGTGTTGAATTCAGAGCTCTGATCCTTGGTGTGGAGGATCACTTGTTGGATTGGTGTGCTCTGGTTGGGGTGCTGAGTTGTGTGTGTGTGTGTTGGGGGGGGTGTCCCTAGATCATGGTTTTGTCATTCTGGAATCTCCATCCAAAATTCTGGTTCCAAGTTTCTGGGTCCCAGGGTTTGGGGACCCAGCAGCCTGGGATGGAGTTCCAGGACCCCAGGTCCAGGGGCCTGCCTGGGTTTGAGGGTTGGGGGGGAATTCAGGTTCTGGGATATCAGATTGGGGCACCAGATTGAGGTCAAGATACAGGACCAGGGTTAGAAGGTCGTGGGTGAAGTTCTTGGTGTGAGAATTGGGTCAAGAGATGAGTCTAAGAGTTTAAACTTAGGTGGAGGCCTCTACTCAAGGTCTTAGGTAGGCCTGAGGTCAAGGGCCTGAGGCCAGGGTATGGAGTGAAGATCCTTGGTTGGCGACACACTTGGGGGATTTCTGGTTTCTATTCAGAGACAGAATCCAAAAGAACGGGGTCAGCAGATGGAGTCAAAATTGGGCGGCGTGAGTCAAGGTCTCTACACAGGTCACGCTGCTCAGCACCCAGCGCCCAAGTTTCAACACTCAGAGTCCCAGGTCCTGGCTCAGAGTTGAGGCCTCAGGCCCTTGTTGGAGTGTGGTTTTCAAGGCGTGTGGCTCGCACCAGGGCACAGAGTCAAGGCCGGGGGTGTGCGCCTGGCCCCAGGGCTGATGTGACTGATCGCTGTAATAGCTTCTGAGTCACAGGACCAGGCTCTGTCTGGTCTCATGTCTCTGGTTAAGGTCTTGGGTGAGCGCATGAGGTTCGGGTCGGAAGGCTTGGTTCTGGAGCTGAGAATCTAGAAATGGCATTTCTAGAGGGTGTCCCAAAATTCACGCAAGATTTGAATTTTGCGTGAGCATTAACAACAACAACAACAAAAAATAAAAGCCTAATTTTACTTGGTTGATTGAATCAGATTCTAATATCTGTTGCCCTTTGATTTCAGTCCCTTCAATTTGATAAGCATCACCAAGGGCCAATGATGGCCCAGGAGCAGGGGCAAGGAAGACCAATGAAGACCACGGCTTTGCGTCTGTGCCAGCAAAGCCGTGGAGGCCATTTACCCAATGATGTGCTATTCCATCCATAACCCTAGACTGTATACTTTATGAATCAACAAAAAATTTACAATTTTTAATGATAAACCTTTGTTTTCTATCAAAATTACTTCTTGCGTGAATTTTGGGACACCCTTTAGTTGGCGTCATGATATTGGGCACCCACGTCCGGACACGTGGTTGGATTATGGTTGGAAATCTTATCCTGGAGTTGGAGGTGGGGGGTCTGGTGTGTGTGTGGGGGTTGAGGATGAGTCACTGCAGCAGCCGCGCCCTGACCCTGCTGAGCAGCGTGTTCGGCGCGTGCGGCCTGCTGCTGGTGGGCATCGCGGTCAGCACCGACTACTGGCTCTACATGGAGGAGGGCACGGTGCTGCCGCAGAACCAGACCACGGAGGTCAAGATGGCCCTGCACGCCGGCCTCTGGCGCGTCTGCTTCTTCGCAGGTACACACCTCACCGGCCCTCCGCTCGCCTGTCCCTGCCTGGCCTGG